TGGCATTAAATGTTTTCCATTTTTTTGAGGGTGGACATGCATGTTCTGTTTGCTTTGTATGTTGGACATTTTTTTTTTTTTTTTTTTGTAACTGTATGTGAAGGGCTGGAAGGACTGGATCTAGGATTGCTACAATTAGCTCATTACTTTCAGAGTCTTGTTATTAGTATAAATGATAAATTGGTCCTATGCTACGTTCAGAACTCCTCGTCTTGCATGTCCAGACAACTTATGAGGACCAGCAGGACAAGTGGGCCGCGTTTGGAACCTCCAAGGCCTTCGCTGCCCAGCATGGAACCAGCTTGAAAGTAAACATGTACTCTTTTATCATGACGTGCCTTTATTTTACACGCTTGAAAGCTTTTGTGCCTACTTTGATGCATATTTAACTTGCCTGGAACTGACAAACAAATATATCCTTTGATAACGTCGATAAAGGCCATGAAATTACCCATCAATATCTTTTGGGTGCCTGCAGTTCTCATTGTTTACACACAAATGCTATTGTGACGTCATCTTGTCCTGCTTGCACAGCTTCGAAGGAGAGCAAGATGGGTGATTTGCGATTTGTCCAAGACAAGAAAGTAGAAGTTCCGAATGGACAAAATAACGTGTCCAAATTTCTGAAGACCAGGACAAGAGAACGCAGCTTTACTATGTATTTGATGTAATGTTACTGAGAGTTACAGAGATGGAAGGAAATGGACACTGCTGTCTTAAAGAGTTTAAGAAATATAATTGTTAGCAACACAGATACAGCTGCAGTGACCTCGAAATGACAGATATCCACAACATCCTCACAATGCCAGAGTTTTTAATGTCTTTTTCCTATAAATTACCACTAATTGCTGATAAAGGGGGAGGTATGGGAAAGGTTATTTTTTACAGTATGGGCGCACTCTCCAGAGACTAAGTCCCCAATCCCACATCATAAAATTTATTCATCAATCTAATCTCATATGCATAGCAAAATAGAGCTGAAACTCGGAAGCACTGAATGTATTTTGGCTTTCTGCGATCTTTTTCCTTTATTTATGGTGCTACCGTTTGTCTGTAAATTATGTTTTGTGCCGAGGATTGCAACTTTTTGTCCTCCTCAAGAATATCCTATTCAATTTGCCCAAACTTGGGGCGTCCATACCGTAAAGATTAACCATAGGAAATAGATAGAAAATAGAAAAAGTTAGGTTTGGGTTTTTGGGTTTGCGTGATACCCTGGTAAGCCTAAATATATTAATTTCAAGATAAAACACAGGAGCACTGAATGGGCTTTGGCTATGAGTGGCGCTTTCAGATGTTTTTCCTTTATTTTTGGAGTTACTGTTTGTGTCGGCAGATTATTTCTTGTACTGACAATTTCAACTTTTTGTATTCTACAAGATTACCATATTCAATTTGCATCCATACCATAAAGGTTAACTGAATTTTTTTCTCGGTGATAGAAATAGATTATAGCATGTGTATTTTGTCACTGCAATAGAGCTCTAGGTAATTCTTTAGAGTATGGATGCACACTTCAAAGACTAAGTAACGAACTCCATATCAAAAAATTTATTCATCAATCTAAGTTGCCGTGACTGGGCATGCCCAACAGGAGGGTTGATAGGGGGCATCACCCAGGAAAATTGTCTTCACCACGGTAAGCATGGCAAGATAGAGCTGAAACTTGGGAGTATCAAGTAGACAGGCTGAGAGCTGTGTTTTCCGTGATCTTTTTCCTTTATTTGTGGCATTGCTGTTTGTGTCTGCAGATTACTTCTTGTACTGATGACTGCAACTTTTTGTCCTCTACAAGAACATCATATTCAATTTTCCTAACTTTGTGTGTCCGTACCATAAAGATTAACCGAGCTGTGACCCTTGAAGCCTCTCTCATATGGAATGCAAAATTTCCCCCACATCCGGCTGGCAAGATGAAGCTTCAACAATATATAGAGTATCGTATGACGGGCATCACAAATAAGCTAGGTGGCAGCTCTGCAAGGCAAACTTCCCTTACCACTTTCTCAAGTCTGCAGCTCATGGGCCATAGTGGTGGTTCATGTGGCCTTAGGGAATTGTTCAAAATAGGATGACATTACGCAATCCTAGCCTTTGCACCTTATATTTGACACAAACCAATAAACCACCCAGGCACATTAACAAGATAAAACTTCTTTACTTTAATGTAATCAGGAAAGTTGATTATCTTGCTGGAATTAACGTGATGTAGGTTTGTTTTCTTTGGATTGTATTTTTTGTATCTCTCCAGATCCAATGAAACATGCTATTCAGAATAATAATTGATCATTTTCATGTTTGATTATTTTGTTCAATGTTTGTGAACTTTGGTTTCTTTGGTAATTTTGTAGGTTTAGCTGATGCAAAAAAGTGGAACAAAGGTATTGACTGTAAAAAAGGTATAGGTATATATTTATTTAAGGAAAAAATACTGCAAGCAAAGATCAGACAGTTGTTTGTGAATTTATACTCATGTGGCTCAAGACGTAAGATGCCTCTGTAAATTGCCAAAGGTAAACAAAGCTCCACCTTGTGTATTCTTACAAGATGGAGCATGCATAGGTACTGCAGTTATTGATCACTTAAGGAACCAATCCAAATTCTATCTTGCTTAAGTGCAAAGCATGGGGAGTCCATAGAATCAGTTCTTGACATAAACAATAAAGACTTTTTGGTCCTTCCCTGAAACATTGCTGAGGCTGTGGCAAATGCTTGATACTGTTGTAATCAGGTTGGATTTAAGGTTATAGGCATTTCATTGTAGGTCAGAACATATTTTGTGTAGATTTGGATAACATATAACCAATATATTTGTTTGCTCCTTGTCAGATGGTAGAATGAAAATGGACGTCCAAAGTGAATTAGAACAATAATAGATATTCTTTTGCCATAGTATACACTAAAGTATTTAAAAGCTTACAAAAATCTTTGTGTACCTCTTATAATATATATTAAAGATATTTCTTTAATGAGAAGATTCTATGTAAGGTAAAAAATATTAATATGATTTTTGTTTTTAACTCATTGTTAGGAAGATGGTATTGGCATTAAAAGAGAGAATACTTTTAAAGCTATATATTTAGTTTAGCTTCCTAATATTAGTGTTGGTAAGAATTAAGGTAAAGGTAAACTTCAAAACTTGATTGACTTCATGGTCTAAACATTATGATGTCATGTTGATATAATAATCAAAACCCCTTTTTCCTTCAGTACCAAAATGCCAAAGGACAAGGATCTAAAGCACAAATCCAAGAAGCTCAAGAGTGAAGAATCCTCAAAGCGCAAAGCTGACTCGGATGATGATGATACAAGTGATACATCAGTGGAGGTGAGGTTGTACCTGTGCTGAATAAGAGAAATTTAGTTTTTTCATGCCAAACAATTTAATTTCTTGGTGGTTAAGTTTAAGAGGTACTGTCATTTAAACAATAAGGTAATGACCCTTACTTATTAGTGTGACAGATATAGGAAAAGGTACAATTAAGAGTGAACTTCACATTGCTAGAGGTGTATTCTTACAGGTTTTAATGAGGTCATCATCAAAATTCCATGACGATGAAATAATACTGATTAAGATTTGATCTAAGTGCATCAGTTGCATCTATTGCATCTATTGTGAAGTTACTTTTTTTTCCATTTTTTTACATTGTTTAACAAAAATTGTAAATGATGGACCAGATATTAGCCCATTAGAAATATGGTTTGCAAGAATGCTAATATTCGTATTCATATACTAGCTGAAAACAATATATGAAATTTACATTTTGTCTATTAACTATTCTTGCTCTTTTCATCTTAACCCATTCACAGCAGCTAAAAGTTTTAAATAATGTTTTTAGTAATTGTATGGCCTGAGTGTATTAGAGCTTATTGTTCTGTGCCTTGGCAATACAGCACAAATGTTAATATTTGTGCTATATAAAATGTTTCTTGGCCCCCCCCCAAAAAAAAAAAAAAAAAAAAAAAAAATTGACTTGGGAGTTTTAACCATATACTTAAAGCCTGTATAATAAATTGGAATTGTAGAAGATGCTTTTAGTATTAGAATTCTCTGTAATCTCTATTTCCCTCTCCATTACAGGATGAACCTGTACAGAAGTCTTCATCTGGGGATCACAAAACCAATGACCAGGGAGAGCCCTTCATGAGCATAGATAAGAACCGAAGGGTCACAATCAGAGAGTTCAAGGGCAAGACTTACATTGACATCCGTGAATTTTATGAGAAGGATGGAAAGCTCTTGCCAGGAAAGAAGGGTGAGTGGCTTCTGTTAGTTTTAGATTTCCTTTGGGTGTATATCCTCTGATGTTCATATTTTTGTATTTATTGTATTAACTTTGTAGGTATTGCTTTATTATTATTATGCTTTTCTTAACTGTTTATATACTTTGATAATATCAAATTTTTCTTAGTTTCATGAGAGGTGTTTTGTAACAAGAGTATATATGGGTTTATAAACTTAAACATTTCCGAATACAGGGGATTTTTTTAAGGGCTTAGGTTCTTTAAAAGTTTTATGATTCAAGGTTTTTTGTTTACAAATATTATAACTGTTGCTTAATTGATGAGCTTAATCAGATTTTTTCTCAATATCTCTTGTTAATTTTTTCTTCTCTCTCTTTTTTAGGCATTTCACTATCTGTTTCCCAGTACAACAACTTGAAGTCTGCAATGCCCAGTATTGATAAACTGCTGTAGATCTGCATTCTGAAGTCTTGAGTGTATTGGTGTGTTCTGCATATGGAAGCGTCAACATGTGCTGTATGTTAATGATACATGAAAAATAAGGGACAACTTTTGCATGGTAGCTTTTTTTTAACAAACTATTAGTCTCAAAGTAACTGTACTCTTACCATTCCAAATTACTGATAGTGTAAGGAAATATGTTCTCTTCAAAAATTTCCATATGAGAGTGTGTGCAACCCCGAAAGTAAATGTTGAAGCCTTTTTTTATGCGATGTATTTTCATAGAGCACTTGAATTTTTTGAAAAGACAAGAATTTATTTGATGTCAGAAAGCATCGTAATAAAAAACAAGTATATTGTTTGTGGTTTTGTTTATTCCTGAAGTTACTGTTTGGAAGGACATTGGTGTTGCATTATAATAACCATCATTTTCATTACTTAGTGGCCTGCGATAGATGTCATACTTTTTCAGGTGGAATGTGAATGAAAATGAGTAAAATTATATAGTCTTCATACTTGGACCCACAGTAATGATAAAAAACAAAAATATCCATGCAATAAGTTGTATATTGCTTAAAAAAAACAGTAGAATGTATAGTGATGAGTTTTTGTGAACAGTAGGTGTCTTCGGATTGTTAGTCGTAATATGAGTAAATAAAAAGAATATGTAACCACATTTGAAACATAAGCTTAATTAATGCTATGGTTCACTTGATATCATGTGTGAAATACACACTTGATTGATACATTTCATGCAGCTAGTGAATAAACAAGATCTTGGCAATCAAAGTCCGATTAAAAGAAATGTATTGGCAATGCGTATTTGGTTGAAGTAGCACAGTAACAGATTTAAAACATAAGGATTTAAACAAACATACTGGAAAAAAATTGTATTGCCCCAGATTAAGCTGATAACTATAATATTGGTTTACATGATAAAAATTTTATTTAAAATTTAAGTGCCATTGTCACATTCAAGTTACCATACATTAATTTCAAATTTGCTATACTAACTTTCGGATGTTGTGATTGTATGTTCCCCTTTAAATGTACATGATCTTGACCATAAATATGTGAAAATATAAAAGATATTTATTTCCTGTAAATATACATATCCTGTTTATATTATATATATTATATATATATATATATATATATATATATATATATATATATATATATATATATATATATATATATATATATATATATATATGCTTATATTTTTTATAGATGGCACTTAACAAGTGTTTAGTTTCTTACATAAAAAAAATCATGCAAACTTTAATTTGTAAGTTTGCTGTATACTTCAATGTACTAGTACCAAAGTTGAATCCATTTTTTAGAAAAAAACTTCAAAACTTTTTAATTCAAAATATGATCCTTAGATTATTCCTGAAAACCATATTCAAGGCATATTATTTAAGTACTTAAATTTTATTTCTTGAACAAATCAGTTGTCAAGAGAGAAACGGCTTTGGTCATAATTTGTAGAAGGATTCAGAGCTGCCTTACATCCGTGTTGATTTTGGAGAGAGTAGGGCCAGACCCTGTCTGCTGTCAGTGAATATTAGCATCAGTATGTAGGGATCAAAGTGTTAAACTTGTGTTTATATAAAACTGTTTATTCTTTTTTGCGTTTATAATAAATATACAACGGTATGCTTGTGGAGAAACTGTTGTACTCTACATCCCCGAATCCCATGCCCGTTGTTGCCATTTAGGGGGTGGGGGCTTTGATTAGCCCCACAGATTTAAATTCTCCAGATCCCCCGACCCCAGGCTCTCCTTTGACCGCAACTGAACACCGTTACTACTACCCCACCCTCAGTCCAGCCCAGATCATCCACCTAGGTCAATCCGGGTGGACCTCCAAAAAACACTGCTCCTCTCCCACCATCCTCTGCTGTACTTCACTTCCTCCACCCCCACAGCTTCCTTCATCTACCACCTCCTCCTCCCTTTTTACTAATCTGCAGCCTTTTCGTCCACCTCTCCGCAGTACTACCTCTTTCTACACTACTCTTTCACACGTCCTCGCCCTTCTACTACCCCCACTTCTGCAAACCTTTTGAATAGTCCGTTTAGCCCAGCCAAATGAGATCGATTTTTCGTGATCCCCTCTACAGCCCCATACTCTGACAACGGAGGTGGCATAGCTCAGTGGTAGAGCGCTGGCTTTGCAATCACATGGTCCTGGGTTCGCGCCCGGCTGCCCCTCTCAGTCGATTCAGCTGTGAATGAGCACTGGTATTCTGACGTCAGCTTGACGTCAAAGTCGGGGCGGAAAGGAACTGGCCACCCTGCCGCATCATCCCGCGGCTTAGGAAGCATGTTTCTCTTCAAAACATGTCCCTTACGTCCAGATGGATATGGGACCAACTTTGACTTGACTCTGACACTCTCTCTTCCAGCAATACCTCAAAAAACAAGTTGGCAAAGTTTCCGCAGCCGTTCCGACCGTTCACACCTTGTAATAGTTTCAAACAAATCCCAAGCTCATGCATTAACTACCCTGACTGACCTCATTGGCAAACCCATTCCGGCCCAGCCTCATCCCTCCCCAATACTTGTACCGAAACTGTCTTCATCTCCATGACAAACTGCCCATTTATGACAAAGATTGGTCAGATTGTGGAGAAGACCTGCTCGCCTGCCTCTTGGACTATGGCATAGAAACAATACAATGGTATACTATACCGCCTAGAGTCCTCCGTTAATATTGCCGAGATTACTTTCCGTTCACATACTGTCCTTTAGTGTTTAAATTGGCGGAGAGGCCCTCCCCGTTTGACCATATCAGGCCCACCTCCCGTCAATGTTAGAATTGTTGGCGTCGAGGCCATCCTGCTAAACACTGCCGCTCCACAGCCCGAAACCCTTATGTGCGCAACCTGGTCATGATCGATCAAACTACTCTGCATAATCACAAACGTGCCAGTTGCAGCGGCTCCCATTTTATTTATTTTCATTTTTATAGAGGTTGCCCTTCATACAAGTTCCAGACTGAGGTGCCAATTCTCAGATGCAATCTTGGCCTCACTACGTGAGGTCAAACAGGAAGCACGCAGACAAGGCTTTTCTCTTAACTCCCTTCACGAGTACTGTCCATCACTCCTCCCTTCCAAGATGTTTCTACATCTTCCCGAATATCTTTTCCTTATCTCACTTTTACCTTCTCCCTCTCCCAGTCAATTTTTTTCTATTCTAAATCCAGTCGCCCAATTTCCACCACTATTCCAGAAACTCCAGTCACTTCTTTGCCGGTACCTACCCCTCTTCCTCCTCGCCCAACTCATCGCGCAAGACAAGCTTTCAACCTTTCCCTCCGCGCCTCAAACGTCTGTTCCTTCTTCTCTCCCTCATAAGAAAACCTTTGTGTCCCAGATCTCCTCAAACAACCATTTCAGAAACTCAGAGATATCCAAAACTAATCATGACCCAAGATAACATTACACCTCATGCATCCTCCAATCTCTCTGCTTCCATTCCTTCTTCGCTCAAAGTAACTGCCGACATCTATCTTCCTCCTACTCATGCTCCCCTACACCCCTCCCACACATCCCATTCCCCCTTGCTTCAGCTGGGTGTTTCTTTCTTCCCATTATCCCTTCCGCTTCCTCCTGGATACACACGTGACCTTCCCTGAATTCTCTTCCACTTAACATTTTGCCTGAAAGTGTCATGCTGAAGTCGACAGTGGTAAGCCTTCAATTTCACTTGCTGTGTGTTGAGAGCTTGGACTCTTGTGTCTGCCATGGGATGTTCCAGAATCTTGCAGTTCTAGAGAGAAAAGTCCGCTGGTGTTGGCTGGTATTGGACCACGGGACGTCCACTGCATCTTCACTGGAGACAACTGTAACTTTTCGATCTTTGTGATTGGTGCCGTGGAAAGCGAAGGCCTTGTAGAAGACGATTTCTTTACATTTGAATTTTGTGCTACAACTTCTCTTCGGTGTTGCAGTGTCGTCTCGGATGCAGGTTGCGTGTCTTGATGAACACTTTCAACCAGAAGGTAAGCTCGACGTTGAACTTTGTCAAGTAGGCCCAAGCATGTCTCTGATGCTGACATCCAAGACAAAGAAGCGAATTCTAAGAAGGGGCGGAGTTGGGCATTGTATAAAACTTGCAAGTCGCGAACATCGAGGAGATACTTGGTTTTAAGGAGAATCACTTCAGTTGAAACTCTCTTTGCAATTTCCTTCAGATAAAACTCCCAAAATAGGGATGTGCTAGGTCACACCGTTGCCTAAGATAGTTTTACCGTCAGTGCACGACGTGGCTTCAGATGAACGTGAGATGACCAATGCTTGATTTTTTCAGTTGCAAACCTGGAATGCCATTGTTTCCCCCAGGCTGCAGTAGGTTCCAATGTGTTATTCATTCGGGCCATAACAGCTTCACTTTCTTTATTGTAATTTATTGAGAGTGTACAGTCATCAACGTATGCTGAGTTCAGGAACGAGCTGCAGATCATTGATGTACACATACCGGAGAATGGGTCCTAATACTGATCCTTGTGGCTGATTCATGTTTAGGGAACTGTGTTGATTGATGCCCCATTATAGCAACAGTCAATAGAGAGGGTTCTGCTATGGAGATCGTCTTGCGGCAGTGCGTGCAGGTAACCCGAGATGCCTATGGACGCAGGTTTGAGGAGAGGACTGCTATGCCAGACCTTGACGAAAGCTCCGGCGATATCGAGGGCAATTACGATGCTGTCTCCTCCAGTGTCCAATGCGTGACTCCAAGACTGAGAAAGTGCCATTAACACAGCGGATTTTGATCTCTTCTATCTGAATTCATGTGGCTAGTCTGCGATGAGGGGATTCTGGTCGAAGAAGCTTTTCAATGTGATCAGTAATAACTCTTTCAAATGCTTTGCTTAGGATGGAAAGCAGGGAAACAGGTATATTCTCTGGATCTGACTTGCTTGATTTCTTGGGTATGGGAACTACACGTGCAAGTTTCCAGATCCTTGGCCAAGTATTTTCTCTCAAGCGGCACTTGAATGGCATTGCAAGTGGACTTGCAAGTTCATCTGCAGTTTTTTTTAGATAGTGTGGGCTAATGTTATCAGGGCCAACAGCTGTCTATATCTTTTAAGAGGCTCTCCACTCTGTTTGATTGGGTACGTAAATTGGGCACAGTTTTTGTAAGTTGGTACTTTTTCAGGATTGTCCACTCGCATTTTCATGCTGAATTCCTTAGGTTGAGGTCTCTAACAATTAAGGTGCTTTAGCAGCTGCAAGTGGTTTTTGTATCATCTAGGTGTTCTGAGGTACAGAAAGGAGTCGCCTCCATGTTACTGTCGGAGCATAACACACATGACTGCAGAGAAGTCTTCTACGGAACATGGCCTCCGTCCAATTAGGAAGGTGGGCCTCTAGATGCTGGAGTGGTAATGCCTCCTCTTTTCTTTGATTAGCTGCACACGCTGATGGTGGATTACATCCACTCTGTTTTTGGCTAGACTTGTAAGTATAAACACCTTTGGGATAGTTAGTCCTACAGGTTAGACAGACCTTATGAATGCCTTCTTTGGTTGCTGGGTTGCTGGTGATCGGGCTTTCTTGGTGGACCTTTGGGGGGACCTTACCTCTTGGTGCAGCTGAATCACTGCGCCACTCCCTCTGCAGCAGCTGTTTCTTGCGGTGGGCGAGACTCTCTCTTCCTGTTTCTGTCTGTATCCCTATCTGTCTACCTGTCTGTCTAACTGTAAATGACTTTTATCAAATCTCTCTTTCTTTTTCTCTGCCTATCTGTCTCCCTCTTTCTCTTTCTGTCTTTGTTCGTCTATCGTCTGTCTGCCTTCCTGCCTGACTCTCACTCTCTCTCTTCTACTCTATCTAAATGTGTGTCTGTCTTCCTTTTTTTTCTCTGTAACTGTATGCCTGTCACTCTCTCCTTCCTTCCCTCCCTCCCTCTATCTCTAATTCTGTCTCTCTATCTGTGTATTTATCTATATCTATCTTTATCTGCCAGTCAATCTGCCTCTTTCTCTCTCTGTCTCTCTAACGGAAGAATATGCTTCGTCTTTGGTTGTATATAAAATAACGAGCACAGACAGACCACCGAGTCTCTACTTCCAAGTTCATTATCGCCTTAGTAGTAGTAGTCTACCCGGTTACATACTAAAAGAAAACGACTGCCTTTAATTGGTATAGAAAACGTAATGTTTTGCAAGGGAACCTTATACCTTTGTTTGGAGGGTTAACTTTTACAGAAGGACTGCGCCGACTAGAAGAAACTCGAAGATCAGTGTTGTAGGTAATACCAAACTTCATTTATTGTTATTATTATTAATATGTAGAAGCAAACCTATACGAGAAAATAATCGAAAATGTATCGCCGAAAAAGCAATGCGCTTTTACGATTCTTTTTGTCCTGCAGCGAATAACATTTGCGTGTGGTAACCAGCATAAACTGTTTGCACATGTTGCTCGTGATGTCACAGCCAATCATTTATCCCTCTCTTAGAAATGCATTGTATTTTAGTCCATGTAATTATTTTAAATTCTATGAAATTATATAGCAATACGTATTAATAAAAGATAGCCATCATTCCGTATCATACTTTCTACATAATTATTTACGCATATTTCCTTCTATCAGGAATACTTGATCTATCCGTACATTACGCATGCGCAACGATCTACCGCCAAATTTGACAGTGCGGATAACCTATATCATGAAATTTATTATGATACTACTTGTGTTTCCAAATTCTTTCCAAACGTTACATCGAAAAAGAACTCAATTATTTTTTTTCTTTTTTTTTTTTAAAAGACCTCAGGGTTAACAAAATCCAGTGAAGTGTAACAACCGTGTTCTAAACAGGGGCTGGAGTTATACGGGAATACGTCTGCTAAATAGAAACAAAAGAGGAACGACAGGTGGTGGCGTCACTACGGTTTTTATTTTCGTTTTGATGCAAAAGAAGTGTTTAAAATAATAACGAAATATTTTCCCATGTTCAAATAAAGTAAACATGAAAATTGCTTAAACTATCTGGTATGACCTGATATAATATGGCAGACCGTCATCGCGGCGGAAATTTCATCCGATGTCACTTCAGCTGGTCTTCTCGCTCGGCATCATCAAAGACAGAGCCTAAGTCCCATAGAGTAACTTTAAACCTTCAGCCCTATAACACACGCACTATGAATAATCCCATTCTTTTTAGATAAATCAAGTTTACAGGTTCAATATTGCATTTCTTAAGTTATACATCTAATACATTTTCTATAAAGAGATGCGGGTGTATTTTATGTTGTTGAATGTTACATTACTGGCTTAGTAATGTATTTATTGCATATTGTTTATGCAGTGCAATAAACAAGAAAGTAACTCAAGGAATCTTATAATCACCAGACTCTGGTCCTACGCACTGTAACTGTAATGTAATATTCATCCGTTATGATACTGTATGATCTAATATCATTTATATCCGTTTTCTTTACCATCTGATGTTTAGAGAACGGCAGAAATGTGCTACGGAAAAGCTGACAGCCCAAAACTGACACCCCTAGTCGAGTCTTCCGTGATCGACTCTTGCTATTTTCCACTTTCTTTATATCTTAAAATACGGCTTTTGGGTCGAATTTTTGGTTTTCCCACTTTGTTTAAGTGATTAAATGCCCGAAGATTGTTGGCTTTAGTGAACATTAAACGCGTACAAATATTTAATTTATCGGTATCAAACAGATTTTATTCAAAATATTTTTTTCTCTGTGTATGTGTATATGAATGTGAATGTGTGTGTGTGTGTGTATGTGTGTGTGTGTGTGTGTTTGTGTGTTTATGCACTGAAGTATTCTGTAAGGAAATGAAGCGACGTAACACGCACAAAATTTTTTTTTCTAAGTTATATTTCTCAATGATACCGGTTTAGTCTCCCATTACATCCAGTACATAACAATAAATTCACACAGTATAGAATATGGTCTTGTTTGAAGTTTGATGTCTTTTGGTGTAACGAATTCAGAGCTCTAAAGCCTGAACTTATAAATGTCTTCATCTTGTTTTGGGAAAGGCTAGATCAGTAGCAACTCGAGGTGTCATGGCGTCTGTTTTGATGATTGTTCAATGAAAATATAACCCTTTAAATCATTACTTTCCACACTTTTTGAAACCTGAAGAGACCAATATGATCGACCATATTCACTAAGCATCCGTAACGCCATGACACCTCCTCGAGTTGCTACTGATCTAGCCTTTCCCTTTTTGTTTTATTAAAAATATTATTCCCAGAAAAGAGTGACTTTTGCAAATATTTGTCATCTTTTTATTTTTTATTTTTTGCTATAATGAATAACAAACTGCTCTGCCGCAAAGGAAAAAAAATATGAAATATGACCTTTTATTGTTCAAAATTCCCTGACAGTTAAAGTTCTGAAAGGCAAGACATGTTACTCCCTCTTTTGTAGGAAAAAATAAGTAAAATCAAGAGAACTTTTGCCCATACAACGTGATTTATGACTGAAAATGCAGCAGCAAAAGTTCCTGGGTAGACTCTTAAGTTCTCGTATAAGAACCTGCCCTTTCAAAAATTGTATGTACTGGAAAGTTTTTTAAAACAAATCATAAATATAGTTTATGTTGTTTTGTGTGTTGTGTGTGTGGTGGTGTGTGTGTGTGTGTGTGTGTGTGTGTGTGTGTGTGTGTGTGTGTGTGTGTGTGTGTGTGTGTGTGTGTGTGTGTGTGTGTGTGTGTGTGTGTGTGTGTATATCAAATACATGCGTGAAAAATAAAAATAAAGGCATACACACACGACCATCGTTCAACTCCCACGCGCTCCGACAGATGCTAGGGGTGAAGATAACCTAAGTTACCTCATCCCTTTAATACATATATATATATATTTTGTCTCAATAAACATCTCAAAGTAAAAAAAAAAGTCCGCGAGATGTATTGTTTTTGTCTCACTAAACGTGTCATAGTATAAAAAAAAAAAAAAAAAAAAAAAACGCTTCGCGCCAAGCATTCGGAGCGCGCGAAGCAGGCCTCTCTCCCGGGCGGTCGGCGACGCTGAAGGGCTCAGCTGCCTGCTCTCTACTGCCGGTCCGCTTCCAGGAAAGCCGTGATTCACCCGCTTTCCCTCTCCCCCCCCCCCCTACTGCCCTCTTGCCCCATCTCTGCATTCCTTTCTTTTATTCCTTTCGTTTCACTCCCGCTGTCTCTCTCTGTCTCTCCTTTTCCTCTTTCCTCCCTCCGTTTGTCCTGTTCTTAGTTGAGTCTCTGTCCGTTCCTCTTCCTTCCTTTGAGTGTCACGTTTCCCTTCAATCAATCAGTCTCTTCTCCCCCCCTTCCCTTTAGTCTCACCCCTCCCCTCTCCTCCCTCTGACTTCTTCCTCTTTCCCCTTGGTCCTATCCTTCCCCCTTAATCTCTACCCCTCCCCTTACCCCTTTAGTCTCCAACCCCCTTAGCCTCTACCGCTCCCCGTCCCCCCCTTTATCCTCCCCTTTCCCCCATCCCTTAGCCTCTCCCCCTCCTCCATCCCTCAGCTTCTCCCCCTTCCCCTTAGTTTCAACTCCTCCCCCTTCTCCTTTCGTATCTTCTCCATCTCTCCCCTTCCCCTCGTCGTCTCTCCCCTTCTCCCCTCTTCCTCTTCGTCTCTCTTCTCCTCCCCTTCCCCTTCACCTCTTCGTCTCTCCCCCTCCCCTTCCCCTCTTCATCTCTCCCCCTCCCCTTCCCCTTCCCTTCTTCGTCCTCTCCTTTCCCGTTCTCTTCTTCGTCTCTCCCCAATGCCTTCCCCTCCCCTCTCTCTCTCTTCTCCTCCCTTCCCCTTCCCTCTTCGTCTCTCTCTCCTCCCCTTCCCCTTCCCCTCTTCGTCTCTCCCTCCCCTCCTTCCTCCTCTCTCCCCCTTCCCCTTCCCCTCTTCGTCTCTCTCTCCTCCCTTTTCCCTCCCTCTTCATCTCTCTTCTCCTCCCCTTCCCGTTCCCCTCCTCATCTCTCCCCCTCCGCTTCCCTCTTCGTCTCTCTCCCTCCCTTTCCCCTCTTCGCCTCTCCCCTCCTCCCGAGAATAAAAAGAACGGAAATATTTATGGTCGCGCAAGACAGTTCTCGGCTGACATTTGAAATTCCATCCCTGGTCGGGGCTTCTGGCAGTATCTACTGTCAGTTACAACACATACGCGATATGAAAACCTCTAAACAAAGAAAAAGGAAAAAGAAATGAGAGAGAGAGAGAGAGAAAAAGAGTAATGAAAAATGTAAATACTTATAAAGATAACGGAGAGGATTCCAAGAACATATGTGCAAACAGAATTTTATAAACTGTGTTGGATGTGTAAACCTATTCTCTTTTAAAG